AAAAAATTTTTTTTTTTTTTTATTAGAAAAAATGGTCATGTGTAATTTTTTTTTTTTACATATTAGCTCGATCTGTAATTCGGTTCTAAATCCATCCCTATTCAACATAGATATGCAAAGTCCATGTAATGGTGTTTGGTAAAGCAAAGCATTCAGCGTTTGGTAGAACAAAAACACGGCATGCATTGACTCTATACAATGTTTGTGTAGTGACGATGCATTCTATTATATACAATGTTTTTTATTATCTTTTGTATTAATTAAACACAATTAGTTAGATCCTGATTACAATATATATAAGAAAATGAAAGTTCTTTCTTTTAATTACAACTTAAAAGCAGCTTTTATGTGGTTGAGTTTGACGATTGTGAATAATAATGCTGTCTCAATAGAAAAATAAGTCAAATCCATGAAAGAACAATCAAAGTCCGTAAGAGAAAACTTTAGCATTCTTTCCACAACCAACTAAATTGGATATTTGCAAGAAATTCGATGTCGAACAAAATTAAATTGCATTTTAAATAAGTTTATAAAATATGTTTACACTTTACCTATCATATTTTTTTAAACTTATATTTTATATCACCATAGAAAAAAAAAATATTTTGCTAACAAGTTTTGTCACTTAAAAATAATTATAGAGCACCAAAGCGTAATAGAAAATAACAAATAAACTCAATTTATAGCACACTAGTCAATGTTGAACGTGTATTGCATGTTATTATGAAATGTTTTATAAGTATTGTAAATGTTATATTTGAATATGCGTGAATGTTAATTAATTTAGAATTAATATCAACGAATATATACGTGACAATAAACGTTAAATGGTTTATGAGCCTGTTTGGTAACAATTCTCCTTTTCTACAGTAAATCACTTCTCATTTTCAACCACACATTCTTCAATAAAATAATATTTTCCATCACATCAATACTTTTTTCTTCTTTTTCAACCACACATTTCCCATCATATCACTATTCAAAAATCAATTTTTCTCCTAAAAATCCCTACCAAACACACTCTATAATTTTTTTGGAAAATTGTGATTTTTGTGACCATATTATGTAAAATGTAAATTTATAAAACGTGGTATGCTAAGTGTAATTACATGTATGGGATATAATATTTTGTATTTTTTTTCCTACATTTTAATTTAAATTGTAGAATTCACGTGACAAAATATAGTATGCATAACGTTACATAATGTAAAATATATGGTGTGATTTGCTATTTTATCTGTTTTAACATTTTTTAATGACGTGTATAAAATTTTTTTTCAGAAAAATGCGATTTTTGTGACCATATTATGTAAAACGTAAATTTATAAAACGTGGTATCCTAAGTGTAATTACACCCTATGTACGGGGTATAATATTTTGTATTTTTTCCTACATTTTAATTTAAATTGTAGAATTCATGTGTTCATTAGATTACACTGAATAGCAATAAAAAAAATTATAAATTAAATAAAAGTTGAAATTTGTCTATATTGTATCGAGTGCGATACAACCCTATGCACACAATATTTCCTATACAGAGATTAGCCAATTGTTGGATTGGCTATGTCACTTGAACTACAAATAGAAACTAAAATTGAATTTAAAAAAAAAAAAAAAATTTACTATGAGGAGAAATAATTCATACTATTAGACTTCGTTTTTCCATGAAATCATGTATTCTTCTAAGTGCCACTTCTAGTGTTCGCTCACTCATGTTCGCGAAGCAAACTCGAAACCAACCAGGCTCAGAACAATGGCAAGACGAACCCGGAGATATGTTCAATTTCACTTCATGTACTATCGTCTTCCAAAGATCCAATTCATGCTCTTTTGTATGTTTCTCCAACAAATTGCTTAAATTCATCCAGCAAAATAATCCAGCATTTCCTTTCAAACATTCGATTCCGGCCCTCCTCAAACCATCGATGATCATTTCATACCGTTTTCTCAACCTTTCTCGATTAATTTTAATGTAATTTTGTGTAAATTCCTTGTCCGACAACATGGAAGCTAAAAGTTGTTGTGTTTGAGAAGAAATTAAAGTGAAGCTGGACATTCTTCTTGCAGTTGTCACAACTTTGTCATTATATGAGTATATTGTCCCAACTCGAAACCCCGGGAGGCCTAAGTCTTTCGAAAGGCTATAAACAACATGAACTCTCTCGGCTTCTAGGTATCCTCGAGCTTCAAGAACTTCCGAAATGCTGACAAATTCAGTGCAAGAAAATGCTGATCCTGAATAGATTTCATCAGAGATAAGATGGATGTTTTTACGTGTAACGAATTCAAGAATCTCCTCGAGGACGGATCGCTTAATTGTTGAACCTAATGGATTTGAAGGATTTGTTATGAGTACTCCTCTAACTTTGATGTTCATGGATACAGCTTCATTATATGCTGCTTCTAAAGATTCAGGAGTAATCTCAAAATTGTTTGAACTGTCACATTTAATTGGTACAATCTTGACACCAGTTCTCCATCTCAAGTCTCTATCAAACCTGTGACATATAAATCCCATAAGTTAGATTAGGATGAGAAACAAATGACAAAAAGGTAGACAAGACAGCATAATATCGTATATCAAACATGCCATGTATTTCATACCCGGGATAGTAAGGAGTTGGAATAAGCAAGGCGTCACCGGGATCAGCCAAAATGAAGGTCAATAGCTCATTGGCTGCTGTAGCACCAGCAGTTATAACAAGTCTTTCAGGAGAAAATTTTACTCTTCCTCCTCTTATTTGTTCCATGAAACTTGCCATTGCCTGTATTGTTTTTTAATATATTAGAGCTTAGAACTTATTCTTATAGAGATTGGTGCTTAGAAAACACTGATAATTTATTGGGAAAATACCTTTCTGAATGATAGTAGGCCATGATAATCTTGAAACAAAGCATTCTCCCTAAAGCCACAGCTTTTATTTCCCCAGTTCGTTGCCTCTGAATGCTTTTCCAAGTATTCTTCGAGCACATCAAATGAAACCTGTACAAGAAAACAAAGAATTAACATCCCTAATGATGAAACGAGGTACTTTTTGTTGAACCGCCTCATCTAAAAGCTTAGGCTGTGAAAATCGAAAAACTTACTTGGTTTTCTGCTAGTCCCATCTGTATGACTCCAGACGGATTATACGATTCATTATAAGGGTTTTCGTCGTACGCTTTCCACCCTGCAAAATATGGCGAGTGTTCTCCATGAGTTTCTGAGTGACGTTGAAAACTATTTTGTTGTCACGGTTTCTGATCAATCTCAATTGCCATAACTTCTACTTAGTGAGAAGGGGTTTTGGATTGAAAAGAGAAACTGATGAATATTTGAATGAAGATTTCCTCAAAGTCCTCTTATATATAGGAAGTCTTGACACACAAAAGGGGCCCTCAACTAAAAAAATCCTTCCGGAAAAAAAAAAGATTAAGCAAAAGAAGAAACGATTAATTCCGCAGATTAAGCAAGTCCTTTTAGTAATGTTTTCATTACCGGTGACAACTGTTGGTTCTATATATTTTCTCAGTTTACACATTATCTAAAATCTCCTCAAGATACACAGAAAATCTGGTGGTTGAATTGGGTAGGTGTTCATATCATTCTTTTAACGTTTTTTTCTCTATAGAAAACATTCAATCATTTCGTCTAATATTGTGGTTAGTCTTTGACATGCTCCCTTGAATGATGTCATATGTATTTCCCTTTTTTTTAATCGAAATATCTCATATGTGCATAAATTTCCATAAATGAATAACGATAATAGTTGAATTCGTCTAAGCTTCTACTTGCTCACATGACATGCTAAATCACCTCGTTTAAAAGGTAGACTTGTTGTTTTGTCATTCCAAAGGTTCGCCTTTTTCTTATAGTCTACAAGGAAAGGAAAACAAATTTGCAATTATATATTTCTTCTTCACCTTTCATCATTTAGAATTTTTTTTAAGTCTAAAAGCTAAATATTTTTTTAAAAAATCTAAGACTTAAGTCACTATGACAAGTACGTTAAGAACGTAAATTGAAAGTGTTAAAACAATAAGATTTCAATAGCAAAAAATAAAAATCGCTTCAAAACACATAAGAGAAACATGTGATAATGCAAAGGTATTAAAGATGTTAAACATTGATTAAGTTCTTTCTTCATCCATGTTAAGGTTTGTAAAAATTTTAATATATGAAAGTGCTTTTGAATTTTCTTTTGATTTCAAAAAGTTGCAATCAGTAGATGATAATTATTTGAAGTGTTGATGTCATAAACTTAAAATTTAAGCATGACAAGGATTATGATATCGCGCGATAAGTACATGTTTATTTTCTGAGCTACAAATTGTAAGAAAATGTTTGTCAAAAGACACCAAAACGGTGATTGAAGTTTTGACAATATATAAACAACGATTGTTTTTCAAATGTGTTGATTGCTTATAGAATATTACTGATATACTAGTTACAATTGCATCTGGCAAGAAGACCTTCTCAAAATTGTTATTGATAAAATTCTACTTTTGGTCAAAAAATGTCACAAAAAAGATTGAATGAATTGATTAATAGTGTACGTCAAAAAAGAAGTTTTAAAACAGATTAATTATAATAATATAATTATTGATTTTCATAAAAAAAATAAAATAAATAAATTTAATCAACACATTTGAAAGATTTAGATTATTATTATTGTAACATTGAGTATTTTTATTTAATGAAAATTACCTTTTTATTATTTTTACATATGTATTGAGGCTCCATATTTGAATTTTTTCTAAGGCTCCTAAAATTTCACGGTCGATCCTGATTTTAACTATATATTTTATGGTATTCACAAAATTTCAACCTAACATTCATCAAATTTTATTCCAATAGATTTCATGTGCTCGTATCGTGCTGCGTATGATCGTACTTAATCACACACTTGGCTGCTCCGTGATCATTGTCTACAATCATCGGATTTCGTTCGGGAAGTTATATCTGCAACTTCTAAAATCTTTAGAAAACAAGATCATGATTTCTGAAAATGAAATATAGCCCGCTAAGATTTGAGTTGATCTAAGAGTAGTTTAAGTTTGAGATCTTACATAGATTCATGCATAAGATCATTAAGATTCTGATCTGCTCACAAAAAGAAGACAAACTTAGCTACAAGAAGATGTGTTGGCCCCACACATTGACTAATCAAGAGCAACAGAATTTAACTTAGAAGTTTAAGGATTGTTATCAACTAATTATCATGTGCCCTAATCATTGGTTAATCACTACTTAATCTTATTCAAATCAAATGTGATAAATAGAGTTATATGTTTGTGGTGTCTGAAAAACTAAATTATCAAAGGAATTGATGGTCTAATTGCCTACACAAACATTCTGTTCACGATATCTTAAAGCGAAATTGCCCGTCGATAACTGTTGCGACCTCTGTGGATAATCACCTCCAGGATACAATAATCAAATAAACCAATTATGCAGGAACTGTCAAGTGTACTCCAGAAAATATGTAAATTGAGTATAATATTTTACTGAATAGGAAGATACAATTTCGTATTTGTAGTGATTTTCTAATGCCCAAATGTGTGTTTATATAGGCAAAAAAAAAATATGTAATTGCCTCCACTATGATCCAATATTATTTGCAATTTTTATGGCTAGTGGTAATGGGGTTGTTAATACTAGACAGTTAAAAAAAGCTATATTTTACTGATTAGTTGGCCCATTAAATAATTCTGAAAATGATTAAAAAATAATAATCATCACTATTTTAATCAAGAAAGCCCAATGCCACAATCAAAGACATTTTATTATAATACGTGAGGTGTAACTCGAACCCCCGATCTCCCACAGAAATTTCATACTTTTCACCAATTAGACACTTCATCTGAATTAATTATTTCTTTCACATATTATATTTATTGTATAAATATCTAACATGAAGAACGTGTGTACAAAATTCTAATAAAGAAGTGACGAAAAAGTTGAACTAGTTCATTTAAAAGTATCGATAGCTGACCAAATCAGCTACTTCATATCGTTCCACAAAATAAAATATAGTTTTGGATGGTGGTATCTATGAAAGGATCACATAAAGATCAATGTGCATGCAGGATTCCCGTATGAGATCTTCGGTTAATGGATTTTGTGTAAGCACATTTTATATTTTATGATTTTATATTTTCTATTTTAATGTGGAATAAATGGGCATCAAAAGGGTACCATATTCGATAAATATATTATTTATCTATTCGATATGTCGCGAGAGGAACAGAGAGAAGAGATTATTCTATTCTACTTTTCCTTCCACGTATATTAGAAACCTCTTGTGAAGTTTACTTTTGGTATTACATTATCAATCTCTCAGCAGAAATATATGATTCCAATTTTACCCATTTTGTACTATTTTTAAATCTTCATTATATTATATTTAAAATAATTCTTATTATTTTTAAGATATATATTTTTTTCATACGTTTGATTTAGATAAGACTATTTTAGTTAGTAGAAATATTAAGAGCATATTTGGCTAAGTTTAAAATCCAATTAAAATTAAAAATATAGCCGTTATTGGGTATCACTCATCTAATAAAAACCAACAATAACGATTAATTTTTCAATTTTAATCCGATTTTAATCTCTACTGAACACGCCCAGTTTAATAATCAAACTAAAATGTTCGATTATCGCCTAGATTAGTGGAAATATATTCAATGCATTTCATCGTGCACTATGTTTAAAGGACTGGAAAGACCGAATATACGTGCATTAGATTCAAGAAACATTAGACATATTAATAAATTCCCTAAGTACAGGGAATTTTCTCAGAAATGTTACATCTGTATTTTTTTAATTTTTTCCCAAAGTTTGAATCTGCACTGTTGATTTCAAAAATCTGTAAAAATTCGGTAAAAATTTCCTGTACTTAAAGCTCAACTCTATTAATAACCTAATAATTTTAAGATCGAGATGGCACATGGCCTAGACAATATTGCAATTCTAATACAACATACATGTTTATAAACCCCAATGGCTTTTCAAAAAAAAAAATTGAAGGTGTCCTTCCGACATCATTTCAATGTGCAATTGCATATTGTGAATGTAGAGTTATTATATTTCAAACCCAATTAAAGGAGAACGATTTTTACGAAATTATAAGTTTTCACATTTGTTTACAAATTTACGTTTCATTATTATTTTATAACAGTACAATTATAGGGCCTGTCTGGGAGAGCTGGGAAGCCAATTTTAATTGAAAATCAACCCGTTACAAAAACTGGCCAACTGCATTTTTTGACTCTTTATCTCAATGATGGGACCCACCAGCTGCAACAAACGGCTTCAGAATCAATTATTTGGATACAAAACAGCTCACCCAGACATGTTCATAATAAAAAAAATGAAGAAAAGATAATCGACGAGTCAAGCTCTATCTCTTCAGATGAATTGACTCGTTCGACTAATCCCATGAGCTTAGCCGTATTGATGAATTGAACGGCTCGATTCGTCCCATTTAACATGCAATCCATCTCATTTAACTGTCCTACTTAGACCTCAAAAATGTGAAATATTCACAAGTGCGACTTCAATTGCCCTAAATAATCAAGGGAAAAATTCATATCTAA